GATTTTGGGATGGTGGGAGAGGATGAAGAGCAACCCCGGGGACACGGCACCACGGGGCTTGTCGTCTCCTGTGGTCCCCAAGGGCAGGTACCGCAGCCGGGGTGGGCTGCAAAGGGGTGGGGGTGCCGGACTACGCGTGCCCCACGCTGTCTTCTCCCCCCGCCCCAGATCAACCTGCTGATCTTCATGAGGATTCTCAAGGTGATCCTGGCCAAGCTCCGCGCCAACCAGAAGGGCTACGCAGACTACAAGCTGCGGTGAGCAGGGGGGGAAGGTGGGGGCAGCCGGTCATGGGTCCTCCCTGGTCCTGCTCCTGGTCCTATGCCACCTCCACCTTGTACATCATTAAATGACCACCCTGAGGTTAACCAGGAGCTTGTCCCAGCTTGCACGTGTGCCCCCAGTACCCACTGCCGCAGGGGACCCCTTACGCTCTTTCAGGCTGGCCAAAGCCACACTCACCCTCATCCCGCTCTTCGGGATCCACGAGGTCGTCTTCATCTTTGCCACCGACGAGCAAACCACCGGCATCCTGCGCTACGTCAAGGTGTTCTTCACCCTCTTCCTCAACTCCTTCCAGGTGAGGTGGGAGGGGGACGTGTCCTTGCTCTGCCCTGGGCACCACGGAGCTAGAATTAGGGGGTCCCTCTTCCAAGTCCTTCTCCCCACGGTGTCCCAGTCTGCGTCTGGGCTCAGGGAGGGGGACACCAGCTCTCCCCCAGCCCTGTTGTTGGGTACATGATGGTGCCTCCTGTGCGGTGGGTGCTCTCCAGGGCAGTGGTGGCAGGGGGACCTCAGCCCTAAAAGCAGCCTGGGGAGACACTATGCCCACCCCAGTCCCGGGAGAGGGGGTGGCGGGGGGGGCTCCCTGCCCCGCTCTCCCTCCAGGGCTTCCTGGTGGCTGTGCTGTACTGCTTCGCCAATAAAGAGGTACGGACCCCTCTGCGGCTTCTCCAGCCCGGCCATGGGCTGGTGGCTTTGGCATCCCCCCGCTGTTGCCTTGCATGGTCCGCAGGGGGGGGAACACGGCCAGGGAAAAGCCCCCGCTCTCTCCCCCCACCACGGCAGGTGAAGTCGGAGATGAAGAAGAAGTGGCAGCTCTGGAAACTCGACCACCCAGCGCTCTGCTGTGCCCAGTGATGTGGTGACCGGCCCCGCCGAGCCAGAGGAGAGGAGCTGCTGGCCACCATGGCCCGGCTGGGGGGGCGGGGGGCACGGGGG